GTGATAGTCTGAGAGCATAACATATCATTCATTCATCATGGAACGTTGCGGAAGCTTTGCTTGTGAGGAAGATCAACCTGCGTGAATTGGTGTTCATCCAACAGAAAGTGAAGAGGACGTGTTTGTACAAGACAAGAGTATTTGATCAATCTTCTTTTGTGGTGTAAGAAAGTATCAATTGAGTCTTGTATATGTCCTTACGTTTTTAGTGAAATTGGTTGTGTGCCTTGAGGTTTTTCTCTCCTGTGTGGAGGGTTTTTTCCTCGTGCGAGATTTCGTACAAATATGTTGTGCTTCGTTTATATTCTCAGTTTGTTGTGTGTTTGATTTTTGCTGTGTAGTACAAGGATTAAATCACATATCATTAAATCACATATCAATCCTGCATATTGCGTTTTAATATTGATCCATCCAGGTTTACAATTACACAAACACTAATCTTTCTTTGTGTAATCTTTTAGAAGAACTTTATTTGATTAATTGGAATCAAACAATCAAACAGCTCTCCTAACTTCTTCCTTTCAAAAGGTGTAACAACCCAAGGCCTCATCCAAAAGTCTACTTTGAAGTTGACTTATGAATTTCTAGGCTTTCTTAAATACCCAATTGCAAATTGATTGCCAATTAACATTGAGTGTATATATATATGTATGTCGCTATAGTAGATATGAATTCTACGAAAATTAGAGAAGACAAGAAGAAAAAAACAGAGAAAAGGAAGGAAAGATTCAGAGCACACAGTCAAAATTGTTGAGGACAATCAATGTACTTTGTAAAAAACAAAGCGGTAGAAGAAGGAATAAGAGAGGTATTCAAAAGGAGAGACCAAAAAAACTTGTCTAGGTCAAGATTCGAAGAAGAGGAGTCGATGTTGAAAGAGAGAGAGGTGGAATTCGCTTGTTCAATTTAGTGAAGGGCTTATTTTGCGAACCGATTTTCAGCTTCTTTGTATAAGGAGAACGAGTGAGGGTTTTTTTTTACTATTGGATTCTACAATCCCATTTGAGTTAGCATTTTAGGTCAAGAGTACTCCTTTTTATATTAGGAGTGAATGCCCTTTTTCTGTCTTTTCTTTTTTGTCAATGTGGGATTGTTAGACCTCTGATGATGTGGCATCTTAGGATAGGGTAGTTAATGTTATCCTAGCACATGGTAATTTGCTTTTGGGATTAGTGTACACATTCGAAATGCACATTTACGGGCCTCATTCCTAATATCTAGGCCCTTTTAAAGGCGTAAAGCATGGTTGTGATTGTCATGTGGTCCTAGGTGGCCTTTGTGTGTAATTTTTAGGCCTGGGTGGCCTTTCTCCTTCCTGATTAGGCCTCGGCAGCCTTTGGGGAGGTCGATTGTAGGCGCCTTGGAAGGGTCCAGTCACATCCCCATGCAATATGGGTCTAAATTCCACTTGGGCTTTTGGGAGTGGGCCTCATTGACATTTTGGGTACAACAAACATAATTATCTTGTTTGGGTCGAAC